CTCTAATGATTCTTCCTCATGTTTTCAGGTGGGAAACATTCATTAATATGACAGTCTGAAAGTTATTTTATTAAATAACAAAAAGTTACTAACATTTCATTGCATAACATCATGGCGACCCCTGGTGGTCATGAGATGTAACAATTATTCAGGACATACGTGACTGAAATTGATCAAACAGATTACAGATGTTCTTTGTCAGCTGTTGCATCAGCATAAAGAGTTTATCAGTGGCAGGTTACACATCTGATGAGCCTGCATGGAGTAACTGCTGCAAAACATGTCAAACATTAAGATAGGGAGAGAGAAGGCTGAAGAAAAGAATGAAGATCTCTCTGAGGTCCAACACATAAAAAGCGGCGGTCTGAGTCTCAGCACCAGGCTGACACAGACGGTGAGGTAGGATCAGAGAAAGTAGGCAGTTTCAGAGTCAGCAGGATTGTATGAGTTCTTCTAAAAGACTCTAAAAGGTGCTGAATGTTGCAAAGGGAACCTGTAGAAAGATCTCTGACTCACAGTCCAATGATTTCTGTTAATAAGTTCCTTTATTTTAAAGGTAATTTGTTGTAAACTTTCACGGATGTGATCAACCATTAAATGGCCGTTATTAGTGATTATCATCGTTGATGACAGCCGCTTTGGCCCCGTCTAAAACCTTAAGTTTCACTTTCTACTTACCGACTTTCTTTATACTTTAATCTACTTTATTTATAGCCGACCTTCTTTAAAAAAAACTTTACTGTGAATTTCACATTTCAGTTTAATGTGGGGTTTAAAAACAACTCACTTTACAGGATATGAGATTTTTCTTAACTTTTTTTTTTTTAGATGAAGAACTTCTAAAATTATGTTCAGATTAATCAATTCTGCAGGTAAAAAGAGAATTACTTTAGGATTCATTTGGTGATAACAGCCTACAGAGCCTACTGGCACTATCTCTATGTGACTGATAACCACTAATAACGGCCATTTATTGGGATGATAACATCCGAAGCGGCTGGAATGTGCAGAGTTAACGGTTGGAATCATATTTATTTGTTGTTCAAACTCCCAGCCAGATGTGCGTGTGTTCACAGGACAATATATGACAGTTCAATGGGATGATTGACGGTGGATCTGATTGGTTAACATTCCAGTCGCTCACTGAAAGCTGCTGGGCGATGGTCTATGTGGGGTTGGCCGTCCCCCTGGAATCCTATGGAGCCGAGGCTGCAGCTGGAGCGCCCGTGTTCTGCTGGTTTGGGTGGGCCCGGGGATCAGGAGCGGCGCTGGAGAGTCCCGCTGACGGCGAGCTGCTGGTGGCCAGACGACGGTAGACGAAGTGGAAGGGGACGGGCTGCGGGCAGCTGTGAAGCTCGGCTTTGATCTTTTGAGGGTGGGTGTCTGCGGCCAGCTGCTGGCTGCTGCCCTCCGTCTGCAGGAACAGGCCGTAGTTCTCAGGGTCCGACACCTTGAACTTCACGGCGCAGAGCTGGCACAGCTCCTCCACAGTGGCGTACGGTCGCACCTGCAGGGTCTTGGCCGTGCAGCCGCTGCCCGACTCGTGCAGCGCCACCCGCAGGTAGTTCTGAGGACAGATAAGATCATCATGAGAGCCTCGCCTCTGAGGGGAAGAGACAACATCTCCAAACAGCCGAAGAATAAAGGAGGAACTGATGGCATAGACTACTCTGATTACTTTTCTCATTTCTGCAGCATGGATGAATTACTATGGGTGACTATAACATGATCAATCGTGACACCACAATAAACAGACACTATTCTGCTCTCTCTGAGCTCAAACATAAAACCCAATCTGGGATTGCTGAAAATAAGACTTNTCAGATTAATCAATTCTGCAGGTAAAAAGAGAATTACTTTAGGATTCATTTGGTGATAACAGCCTACGGAGCCTACTGGCACTATCTCTATGTGACTGATAACCACTAATAACGGCCATTTATTGGGATGATAACATCCGAAGCGGCTGGAATGTGCAGAGTTAACGGTTGGAATCATATTTATTTGTTGTTCAAACTCCCAGCCAGATGTGCGTGTGTTCACAGGACAATATATGACAGTTCAATGGGATGATTGACGGTGGATCTGATTGGTTAACATTCCAGTCGCTCACTGAAAGCTGCTGGGCGATGGTCTATGTGGGGTTGGCCGTCCCCCTGGAATCCTATGGAGCCGAGGCTGCAGCTGGAGCGCCCGTGTTCTGCTGGTTTGGGTGGGCCCGGGGATCAGGAGCGGCGCTGGAGAGTCCCGCTGACGGCGAGCTGCTGGTGGCCAGACGACGGTAGACGAAGTGGAAGGGGACGGGCTGCGGGCAGCTGTGAAGCTCGGCTTTGATCTTTTGAGGGTGGGTGTCTGCGGCCAGCTGCTGGCTGCTGCCCTCCGTCTGCAGGAACAGGCCGTAGTTCTCAGGGTCCGACACCTTGAACTTCACGGCGCAGAGCTGGCACAGCTCCTCCACAGTGGCGTACGGTCGCACCTGCAGGGTCTTGGCCGTGCAGCCGCTGCCCGACTCGTGCAGCGCCACCCGCAGGTAGTTCTGAGGACAGATAAGATCATCATGAGAGCCTCGCCTCTGAGGGGAAGAGACAACATCTCCAAACAGCCGAAGAATAAAGGAGGAACTGATGGCATAGACTACTCTGATTACTTTTCTCATTTCTGCAGCATGGATGAATTACTATGGGTGACTATAACATGATCAATCGTGACACCACAATAAACAGACACTATTCTGCTCTCTCTGAGCTCAAAGATGAAAACAAATCTGGGATTGCTGAAAATAAGACTTCTTATGCTTATGATCCTACATAAGTCTTTTTTTCTTAAACTAAATGCATTTTTTCTTGAATTTAAGAGGTAAGTGAGACACTTTGCCAATGGAACATGACAATTAACATTTAAAAGAAGAAACATATGCATTGTATTGCATTGCAAGGGCTGATTTATACTCAGAAACCAGGTGGTCTGCGTGTGTGTCACAGTGAACGCAAATGAGCCCCCGCTTCTTCTGCAGACACTCTGCTGCACCTCTCCAAAATTGTAAGGGGACTGAAGACATAGCATGAGAGCCACCTGCCCCCACCCATCCTCACCACCTTCTTCAGAAGCACCATAGAGAGGTCGCATTTGGACCAAAAAAATAAATAAATCGAAAGAAAAAAAAAATCGAAAAAAAAACAAACAAAAAACCCCTTTGGAATGGAGGTTGTTTGGCTTCTTCTGTTAGCCTGCAATGCCCCATACCTGTCTATGTCTCTGAATTGTTGGCCTGGCTGAATAGGCGAGGTCTTCTGTTCCCCTGTAAAAGGTTTGGGGTTCCCTTCTCGCTATCATCACAACCTCAACCCCTTTCAGCAGGTCAACAATTCCCTTTAACGACCCCCTTTCAGAGACATAGACAGGTATGGGCATAGATGTGAAAAGGTAGTTTCTTCGAATTTGAATTAGGGTCCTGCTGATTGGTTGGTTACCCCAGGCTCACACCGACTCCGGTCTTACCGTTGCGGTGCGGTGGGTGCGGCGCCGCAGTGATTCCAAGTCATTAAAAA